AGATTAAACACTGAACAATGTTTGGGTTGCATAACAGATTTTGACTTCTCTGTTGTTACTATAATTTAAACTTGAAAACAACCTTTTTAAATCTTGCACTCCTTATGAAAGTTTTAGGCCTATATCTTAGTTTTCCATCTATATAGAGCAATGTCAAATACAATTTCACAGCTCCAAATATGACCTAATAACTTAATAGTGTTCCAGTTTAGACTGATCCAACATCTCTTTTCTAAGCTTAATACTTTCTTTGTCCTCTCAATTTCAGTAGTTAAACTTATCAATCAATCCTTTGATTTATGTGATAGGCTTGCATTTAAGATAAACATTTACCATAAATTAAAGGTATCTTATATTATTAAATATGTTATTATAAAATATGTTCTAGATAAGAAGTTATTAATATTTAAGTGCAAAATAATGATATAAAACCTTGATAAAAATACACTTTTAAGCACTACTTAAAAAATAAGTAATATCAGCTTCATCTAACCTTATTTGCAGATTTGAAATAGTGATCAAGAGTCTTCTGTTTCTTTGCTCTTCTTCGCATCTGAAATGGCTTTGAAGATTTCTTTATTTAGGTTTTCTTAATTCTCATTTCTATCTTCATTGTTAATTGTATTGGCTTTTTAATTGTAACAGGCAAAAACAACATCATTTCACGTGTTATATATATATATATATAAAGTCAGGTCTTAACTAGGTTTACCCGGGTCGACTAGGTTTCGCCGGGTCAAATCCTAGGCTAGTTTTTACTTAAAGCCGGCCTGGTCTTAAGCCCGGGTCGGTCGGATTTCAAAACTATGATTAAGGTTGATCAATATGTACTTTCCAAAAAGAAGGCCTATTTGTTAGGAAAGATTATATATCTAATAAAATTTTAAACTTAATATTGAATTAAATGAAATTGTTATTTTTAGTTCCAATGTTTCCTGTGTGAATGTTTGGTATATTAAATTATGTCATATAAATTATAAATATGTGAGAAACTTAAGTAATCTTGGATTAATTCCAAAACTTGAGAATGAATTTGAAAAATATAATTTAAATCTTATAGCATGACTAAAATTTCAAGAAAACCTTTTAAAAGTATTAAGTATAATTTGAGTTATTAGAACTTATACATACTAAAATATGTGAATTTGATGATATTTTAACTCGTGGTGGTAATTATTAATTTATAACTTTCATTGGTGATTTTTTCAAATATTCATATGTTTTTCTTATGAAACATAAAAGTGAGGCTTTTGAAAATTCTATTATTTTTCTTAAAGAAGTTAAAAATAAAACTAGCAAAAAAAATTAAAAGGTTTCAAAGTTATAGGGGTACAGAATATGGTTCTATTGATTTTAATAATTCTATTCAATCTCATGATATTGTGTATAAAGTTATAGCTCTATATTTGCCTTCTTAAAAGATAAAGCCGAGAGAAAACATAAGGCCTTAATTTATTTGGTAAATTTTATGCTTATAAGTTTAACTTTTTAAATATTTATTTTATTTTAAATAGAATTCCATATAAAACATCTATTTTAACTTCTTTATGAATTATAGAGAGGTTATAAACTAAAATTAGATATTTTAAGAGTTTGGGGTTGTTTAGCTTTTGTTAAACTTTATGATCCTAAAAGACCAAAACTTGGTAAATTTTTCTTGTGTTTATTTGAGTTATTCCTTGAATATTAAAGCTTATAGATTTTTTGATTTTGATACAATGAATTTATAGATACTATTTTTCATAAAAAAAAATTCTTTTTAAAATAAAAAATAGTAGGGATAAAAGTTTCCAAATCTACTATGAAGGTAGAGTTGATAGCTTTAGCCATGACCAATGATGAAGTGGGTTGGTTACATGATTATATATATATGAAATTTCTATATAAGAAAAACCAATAACACTTGTCTTAATTCATTATGAAAGCATTGTTATTATTGGAACAATGCATGAGAAATATTACAATGATTATTCCAAATATATTAAAAGAAAGAATAGTATTGTGAAATCATATATGAATAATAGTACCATAAATGTTTACTATATCAGTATAAAGAATTATACCGTTGATCATTTTACAAAAGCTTTGGCTAAATATATGATCTAGATAACATAAGGGGAATATGTTTTAAGCTCAAAGAAATATAAACTACTTATAAGGATACCTTATCTAGTTGACTATAAATCTTAAGATATAGGTTCAAATAAAAAAAAATGAATCATAAAGTAATAGATTAACATGCACTAATTTATTCATGTACATCCTTATGGTGCAAATGCATATATCCCTAGACAAAATAAGATTAAGTTTCTTTAATGAAAATTTTAATATGTTTTATTGGGATGTTAAAGTCATGAGAACATCCTTGATAGGCATACTATATGAACATGAAAATGGGACTGTTTCTTTTGAGAATTGGGTGAGTTATTTAAATTTTATTTATAAAAGTCAAGATCAAGCATAAAGTTATAGAAGCCGTTTGGCTACGCGTTAGAGTTTGTGTTTTTTTTTAAATGTACGAAGCAAACTTTTGGTTAACAAAAAATAGCTAGTTATTGTGCATCGTCCTACAATAAATTGCGTGCGAAACGCAAGAAGATGGAAAGCAGAAAAAATGCTGCTTTCTTACATGATTCTTAAATTTTCACTGAACAATGTATCATGCCTCCACTGTTCAGTAAATAGTGGAGGCATGATACTGTTCAGTGAACAGGAAAGGCATACTCCACTATTCACTGAACTGTGGAGCATGTGAACAATGCAAGCTGTTCACGTGATTATTTTTTTCAGTGTGTTAATTTTTTTAACATTTTTTTTAAAAAGACTAATATAAAGTGAATTAAATTTACTTTCACTGTAATATCAATTTTATACCTGATAATATTTTATCTACGCTCAAAAAATTATGAAAACTGTTGTTCTTATCGGATGAATTTTGTATGTAATGAAATTAGAAATAGTTTAATGAAATAATAAAAATTATTTTTTATAAAATATTTTTTATTTCATGATGTAATAGTAGTAATTAATTCTATAATATTTAAATTTAAAATAATCAATATTAATATATATATTTTTAAATTATTTTATAACCTTAATTTAAAAAGCATTCTTAACCAAACACATTAAATTACTTTTTCTTCAATCTCAATTTCAACAACAGTTTTAACCAAACACCTATTTTTCAAATCAATTTCAATTAAAAGTATTTTTATAAAATAATTTTTTTTAAACCACGACCACAACAGCTACTACAATATCAAACACACTCATAATATGCTAGCTTCAAAACTTATCACAAAATATCTAAATATTGTTTCTGTGTTATACAATATTTATCTCTCATAAAAAAACTATAGTCCATGAAAAGGTTTATTATTGGCTTAAGAGTAATATTGTTGAAGTAATAAGTATGGGTTCAAGCTATTAGCACCTTTATTATATAATATGTTTGTTTCATTGCCTAATATGTTTGTTTTCTTTCCTAAACATGTGACTATTATTTTTATAAAAATAAGTGAGGAATTGTTAGAATATTTTTATAAAAATTTAAAAATTTTAAGAAGTTGTTATAAGAAAATAATTACCCTTTTAATTTTTTGCTTTTGCAATACTTTATATGCCTTTTAATTGTCTTTTAATTACATGCATTTACAGAACATTATATGATTTTTAATTATAAGTTATAAAGCATTAATTCTTTTATTTTCATGTTACAAAATGTTATATGCCTTTAATTGCAAGTTATAAAATATTATGCATGTTAGAGAATAATATAAATCATATCTTGGAACCTTACCTAATAGTTTAAACTTTTGGGTTGAGATGATTCTTTAACATGGTATTAGAGTTTTGACGACTAAGCAGTCACGAGTTTGAATCTCATCATCCCTATTTATTTGATAAAAAATTAAGCACAAGGTAATGTGGACCTGTGCAAGTTGTAAACTCAAATGACTTTCACTTGATAAGATGTGTCAGAGAATAATATAAATCATATCCTATAACCTCACCTAATAACTTAAGCTTTTGGGTTGAGATAATTATTTGATAATGCATAACAATTATTTTCTTTTAAAAATGATTATTAAATCTTTAATAATTTAGAATTTAAATACTTATACTCTCTTACCTATATATAAATATACAACAACATCTTAAATATCTATTCATTATATTATTTACAAAATCTTTCTCCCACTAAACCAAAGCCATGTTATTTTGTTGTTACATTTTGCTTGTTGTTACATTTGAGCAAGAGGGGTGCTATTCTTTCTAGAGTTTCAATTCTTACAAGTAGTGGAAGCCTGTGAGACTAGACAAAATAAATAAGTTTTTTGTATCTTTCTTGATTCAATACATTAAATTTGTTTTGAGCAATGTGTATTGTTTAAGAAAACAACATGTTTATGTCTTATGTCAGTAACATAAATAATTTTATTAAAACTATTTTTTTGGTGTTTTTTATTTATATTATTAGGTATTATTTTTATAATCTCTAATAAATTTGATACTTATTATTGAATAACCAAATACTTTCAACAATATGGTTATAACAAAATATAGTTTTAACTTTCAATCGTATTTTTTTTATTAATATAGATATTCAGGTTATATATTTCAACTAATTTTATAAATTTTAAAATTAATAACTACATGAATTTTCAATAATTTTAAAATTTATAAAATTTAAATTAATAATTTTAAAAAATAAAAAAATCTGCAGCCTCACGGGTTAAGATTTTCAGATTTTCAACCGTACCTTACAACGCTGCTAGATGTACCGTTATTACTTATTCATAGTTTCTTCTTTCAACAAAGAAAATCATTTTGGTTCATTTACCACGCATCTTTCATGACTCGAACCCAGCCCTAGAACTAGAATATGAACTAGCTTCTAACCCAGTACCAGAACCATCACCCGACCCAGATGAAAAAGATGATGAACTGGAATTGCAGCGAGAGGATCTAGAACCTGAACCTGCTCCAGCACAAGATCCTCATCCACCACCACCCAGCCCATTACCCAAACCAACTCCCGACCCTCCAAGGTCCATGCCCAAGTCCTTTCTTGCAACCCGGCATTCACCGACGGCTAAAGATGCAACATGGAGACCTAGAATTGCTAAACACTTCAAATTGCCTAAATTTTAAGCCGAGAAACCAAAGGTCCAAAGTACCAAGTACTATGTATGCATGTGTATACTATATAAGAGTATTCTTTTAGTTATTAGAGATTACAAGTTTTTGTGGGAGGCGAGTTGATAGATGGTGCTATATTTACACTTGCAGAAAGTGAGGTTTGGGAGTTGTAGTGGGCATGATAAAAGGTGTAGGCGTGGGGATTGTATCAGAAAATAGAGGAGGGGACACCATGTGCTAATTTTCTTCATGAATTATTACGCATTGCCATGTGTAATGTGAACATTCTTTTTGTAAATTCCATTGGTTTACAAAAATTTGTGGACCAAAAAGCTGAGAAATGGATTGCATAACTGGGAGATGATTTTGGAGTATGATAAGCTGGACACAACATTATGAAGGTGCCGTCCCATTATAGATCGTGGAGTGTTGTCGATCTTTACTGTCGGATGCTGCTGATTATGGAGGAAATTAAAGAAAGTATTGCTTAATACATGTTAGATGTGCTAGAGAAGATAATGACTGGAGTGTTATTAGTCAACTTAGAGGATATATATTCACACACACACTTAAATCGCTCATAAACTACATGGTATTTTATTAGAATTGTATGTTGACTATGAAAACTCCAAAATTGTTTAAAAATGGGACAACAAAATCCAATAATTAAAAGTTGAAAAATAATAAATTATATGATTAGTTTTAATAATAATAATAATAATAATAATAATAATAATGATCTTTTGATATTATTACATGGTAATATAAAATCTCTAATTATTTAATATTGAAGTTGAAATCATTATTTAATATAATATCGATCATAGTTTAAATTAACTAAATAATTAAGAGTTTCAATCATAATATTCTCACTTTCTCTTTTCATTAAAATTTAACAATCAAATACAATATAATGATAGATATGTTAATGTTTTCCATCTAAATAACTTTTTCGGGTGTTAGATAGTAATATAAAATTTATTCAATACTTTAACTTTTTGGATTGACTTCTATAAATGATGATAATGATGATGATGATAATGATTGAGTTAGTTTCATTATTAAATATTAAATTGGATATGAATTAAGTTTTTTAATTGACCTCGAATTTAGGATTTCACGGGTTGTGAATTTGAAAGATTAATCATGTTTAGGAGTTTGCCTGAGTTTATTTATTTATTTTTATTTTTTTTAAGCTCATGTTTTTTCAATTTTATCTTTTAATATTTATTTAATTAAAGTAATTTTTTTGTTTGTTTTTTATAAATTTTTTTCGGTTTTGAAAATGACCCGGGCTGTTTTGAGTATTTTTATTTGCCATTTTTTATTAAATTTAACTTTTTTTAAAAAAATTATTTTTAAATTAAACTAAATTAATTGATTAAATATAATCATAAAATACTCATTTGATTGCTTTTATGATACATGTTCTTTTAAATTGTTTGATTTGTTTTTTGGGTAATTACTCTAACAATGCATGTATTCTCTTTTTGTGTCATGTGTAGCTTTTCACAATAGTAGTGGAATCGTATCAGTAAACTCTTCTAGTGGTGGATGATGCCTACAACAGAGGAGCGATGAGTCTTTAACAAGTTTTTTTTTTCTTTCAAGTATAATAGTATCAACTCGTTTTTTATATTAATTATTGTTATTTTTTTGTTCACTTTATTTATTATCAATATTATATTTTTAATGATATTATTAAATCAATCAAGTTTATTAAACACAATAAGTTAATCATTCATGTCCCATTTTTTTATTTTTTTATAAAATCACTAGACTCGTCTTAACTTTTTTTTATATTAAAAAAATACACGAGAGACTATTTGATATATCATAATTCATATTCATCAAAAAGGTATATCCTAATTCATCATTTTCTAAATGATAGCCTCCGCTAGCCTGCTTAAAAGATCAAGATCATGGTATTAGATTGTCCTTACAGGATGCTATTAGCCTAATAAATTTTGTTCTTGGTATTTTCTACAATGCTGTTTTGGAAAATCCCAAAAGCTTTGATCTGACCACGGACTACTGAAATAATTTATTAAGTTTTTTGAAGCGGTTTCTATTTTTTTTTCCTAAACATATGTGCTGTTTTTCTAAATAAATTACACTCAAACACTTAAAATATGTAAATATTGATGTATTTTACTTTCTTCTGAATATAGCTTAATGATTGTGTATTTGGTAAGTTCGATCGAGTCTTGATATATATATAGAAGATGAGCTTGAACTTGAACTAGACCCAGACCTAGAACCCGAACCCGAACCCGCTCCAGCACCGGAGCCTGATCCACCACCACCCAGCCCTATACCCACTCCAACACCCAGCCCTACCCCTAACCCTCCAAGATCCAGGCCCAAGTCTTTTCTCGCAACCCGGCTTTCACTCACAGCCGAAGTTGCAACAAGGAGAGCAAGAATTGCTAAACACTTCAAATTGCCCATTTCTTGAGCCTAGCAACCACAGGTCCAAAATTATCAGATACTATGTATGTATACTATATGTAAGAGGAATGTTGTTTTAGCTATGTATCTATTACACTCTCAAGTTTTTCGTGAGGGGAGAATGGAAAGATAGAGCTATATTTATACTTGTGTATAGTGAGGTTTGGTGGAGTTTATGGTACCACTTAAAATTAAAGATGGTAGGCGTGCAGACTGTAGCAGAAAATTAGTGGAAGCTGGAGACCTGCTAGTTAATTTTCTTTATTTATGAATTATATATCATGCATTGCCAAGTGTATGCGATATGAACATTTTTTAAATTAGTGTTGACCAAAGTTTGTGGCTAACAAAAGCTGAGAATCGGATTGCAATGCGCGTCGGACATGAGTTAATTTATGAAAGATGGTGCCTGCCGTCCCATGAATCTCAAACCCACTATAGATAGTGGAGCTTGTTTGGTTGGATTGTACTGTTGATGTTGCATTGAAGGAATAGAATAATGCTTATACATTTTATAGATAGAATAGTATCGTTTGCCTCAAAGGATATACATTTTATAGATAGAATAGTATCGTTTGCTTCAAAGGATATATTAGAAGACACTGGAATGATCAAAGATTTAACTATCATAATGCGTTACATCCTACAAAAAATAGTTCATCTTAAATAAATTATTTGAGATAGAATATTCACATATATTGACTATTATGATAATCTTTTATGCTTAAGTGCTGTGTTATATAATAAAAAGATTATCAAAATTATATGGGAGACAAGTAGGTAGGAGGGCATATGAACCTGTTAGGAGATGCTATCTAGCATATTTATTAAAAAGATTATAAAAAATAGTTTTTATTTATTTATTTTTGTGCGTGGAAGGGCTAGATACTTGAGCATTTTGCAGTTTAATATGTTTACAAATTAAATTCTATATGGGACAAAAGAGTGTAGCACCGCAGCATGCAGTCTTATCTTTCCTTACGGTCAACTTCACCGAGTTCACGATCCACTCACTCGCTGCCAAGAAAAGTCATCTTCCATGTCTTGCATTGCAAGCAATAGTCACTCGCTGCCAAGAAAAGTCATCTTCCATAATGAGTCTTGCATTGCAAGCAATAGCTGTCCTAGCTAGCTACTTATGTGTTCAGTTCATTTAAGTACACTGTAGCTTTTTTTCTGTCAATTCCAACCACAAAATTTGGAAATGGAAGATTCTAGAATGCATTTACCCTGTGCTGGAAATTAACTTATTTAATTAGAAGAAATGAAGATGGATAGAACTTCTAACCATTTAGTTAACGGGATTTTGGTATCGCTTCTTAAATTTTTAAGCATATTCTTCTTTGATGTACGTTGTGATATTATATTACAAATTTTGTTTCGTAAAAGAAAAATACATGTCTTGTTAATCATTGATATTGTAAATCATATATCGTTGGAGCTACTAGTAAAATTGCGTGAACAATCAAGTCTGCATTATTGAGATTTGCTCGGAAATAGTTGTTTTTATATTAGAAAGAAGATATTGAACTTGTTCTGGGATATTTCTGTTTGATAAGCCTCGTGTCCTACGGATTAAAGTATGGTAGAGTTCAAGAAGATAAAGGAATGGTTATTTTTGTATTTTAAAAATATTTTTGAAAATATTTAAAATATTTTATTTTATTTATTTATTTTAAATTAATATATTTTTTATTTTTTTAAATTATTTTGATGTGATGATATCAAAAATAATTTTTAAAAATTAAAAAAATTATTAACATGTATTTTAACACGAAAAATTATTTAAAAAAAAACTACAATTACAGTACCAAACAAAATCAAAATGTGATAATAATTAAAACCTAATTATAATTAATAAGTCAAAGAAAGTAATAACAAAAATACAAATAAAAAATATTATGTTGCATTCAACAATGTTGATGATAAAAATAATTTATTAATAATTTTAAATAATAAAAAAATATTTAAAAAATTTCATATGCATTTTTACTTGTCAAATCACCCAACGAAAATACCAAAAGAAATTTTGTTGGTGATTTGAAAAAAATCTGACAACTCTTGTTCAAACACAACCTCCACAAATTTATTTATCTCATTTCAAAATTAAACCAAAACCCCCACCTCTCTCTTTCTCTCCCTAAAACCTCCATCCATCTTCACAAGTTGGGCTACCATATCTCGCCAGTGCCAGGCAACAACTCTCCCAATTAAGGCCTATTCAAACACAGCCTTCTTTGGTTTCTTTTCATGTCAAGCTTTACTTCACCAAGCCTCAAACCTGTCCATTTATATTTTAAGTTAATCTATTAAAAATGTTTTGTAATATTTGTAATTTACTTTGTATTTTACTTGTTGAACATATCAGACTTTGGTGAATTAATATAGAATTTGTATTTTGGAGTTTGTTTGAACTTGAATAATTTTTACCTGATGTAATTTTATAACTTAGACATGTTAGAATTGAAAAAATAATTGATAATTTAATGAGTGTCAATTATTATTTTTTATCAATTTTATGGTTAAGTTCAAAATTTAGAAAAAATTCAATTTATGTGGAATTGATAATAATTTGGGTGTTAATTAAAGTTACTTATTCTTGAATTGAATAAATAATGGGTAGTTAGTTGGATAACAATTATTTTATTAGTTAATTTTATGGTTTAATGAGTTAAAAATTCAATGAAAATGAAATTAAATTAGTGTGGAATTGACAATAAGTAGGGTTAAGCATCAACCTATGAAGTGGTTGATGGTTATTGTATCATGAATTATATTTTTCTAATTTGAAAGAATTGAGTTATTTGGAATTTAAGAAATGATGGTTTATTGAGTTTTTATTGTGAATTAATAGTTGGTTTATGTAGGTTAATTGTGATTCTTTTTTAATAAATAATTAAATTTGTTATTGGCATGTTTTACTAGCATTTTAGTATTTGTAAGTTATTAGTTCAAAATTTTACATTACATAATAACTATTTATTTGACCTACCTAATGTGTTTGGTTAATAATATTAGGATAATAATCTTTGTTAATCTAAAAAAAATTATTGGTATCAATATATTATATAGGTTTCATAAATAATAGATAATCATTCTTCGATGCATTAAAAGTCAAATAATAGATTGTATAGGCAAGATTTTCTTAAAGAGATTGAAGATTTTATTAATTTTATAATTTGTAATCCAAAGAATATTAGTGATAGTGAAACTTTATATCCATGTGCAAAGTAATAAAATAAAAGTTTCAACATAAAGATGTCATGACAATATATCCATATAAAAAAGAGTTTGTCGAAAAATAATTAGATTGATTTGCACATGTAAAACAATAGGTTTCTTATGATACCATATTAAAAATGATGGTTGTTTCAACTTTTAGTTCTAGCAATATACATGTATTTGCGACAGGGAATATAAATTCTTATATGAGTATGGAAAATGAATGCAATGAAAATGAATTATGATTATTTAAGTAAAATTTAACATTAAGATTCCTTTAAATGAAGAATCAAATATTGATATAACTAGGTTTTTGGAACTTTTGAAATATTCGAATGAACTATTATGGGATGGATGCACAACTCACAACAAGTTATCGACAATAACACAAGTGTTTACTATTAAGTTTGATTTAGGGCTTAGTGGGACTGATTATGATCAGATCCTTGAATAGGGAAAAAACATGTTCCCTGACTGAAAGATAATTTTTATATAGTCAAATACATGATGAAACCTCTTAGCTTAGAATATCAAAAAAATTATATGTCCAATTTTTTTTGATATTGTGCTATGATGAATATAGAAATATTATTAAGTATAAAACATGTGAGCATGCTTGATATAAGCCTTATAGTTGAACAACACTTATTACATATAAAAAGTTAGGATACTTCCTAATTAATCCTAGGTTATAAAGAATATTTATGTCTTGGAAGACTGTTGAGCACATGATATAACCCAAAGTTTGACCTATTTTCTTTTTATTTAATTTTTAAAGGGGTTAAAATTATTTATTAAAAAATTAGGGATTTATTTCGGTTAAATGTGTGATTTTTCAACTTATAAGAAAACTAAGGATTATAAAATATTTTTGCTATTCTCTCATAATCTTTAGTTTAAAAAGATCATCAAGATAATGATAGCTATCTATTTTTAAAATTTAATTTTTAATTCTAATCAAATTTAAATTTTTAAAAAGAGAATGAGTTTGTTTAGGATTTTTTTTATATATGCTATGAGACTCTTGTATTATAAATACAAATCCTAGTGGATACAAAAATAAAAGGGAAGCATTAGTCAATATTTTTTTTCATACACACCCATTTAAGATATATATATATACACACACACTAAACCTAATTTCTAAGGGGAGCTGCCAACCACCAGATCCTTTCTAAAATCTTCAAGCTCTCAAGCTTACAAGACCATACAAGGCCAACCTTACCCCCTCATAAGCCACTTTGAACATTTCCTTTCTTCTCATCCTGCATTAGCATGCATCCATCATCGATAATCACAGCTCCTCAACTACCATGAGCATGCACTAGCCATAACAGGAGCTTCATTTTCTTCTCCCTACTAACATTCATCCTATAAAATCCAAAAACATCCCTCGCCAACTGAAGCCTCTCATCATGAAGAGTAACACCATCCTACTTCTTTTCTTTAACCCATCTCCCACACAGATCTAACAATTCTAATCTCAGTAGCCACTCCTAGCCCACATATGGAAACACTTACCAGTCCACAGCTGCCCCGTCTTATTGGCATCAAAATCCAAAAACCTTATTTAAAATTAGCGTTCTAACCAGAGACCCAACACATTTCCTCTTTAAAATCTTATTTCTCTTAACCCATCAACTTCTTTTTAGCCACCATCACCAGCCATTCATTAGAAACACCTAACATCCTCCATCTATGATGGCAGTAATAGCCATTTAAAGAAGAAGAAAAGAAAAAAAATGTAAGGAAAAAAAAAGAAATGGATTTGAAAAATG